ATTATCTACCTATTCGAACCATTGCTCTATTTGTAATCTTATCGGCTTTTTATGTAAAGATTAGGTTAATCGAACCATTTACATCTTTTAGGATTGTAATGTACTTTTTATATGAATGTAGCTTTTTCTATCTTTGTTCTCATCTCGAATTAGTAAACTTACCAATTTTGAAATTCCTATTTTACCCTTACTTTAATAATTTATTATTATTATTAGCGGCCCGAAAATAGGGGAGAATCCACCTACGCCACTAACAAAATGTTGAATAGAATCGTACCAATCTGGCTTCTCGTTTCATAGAATGCGTAGTTCCTCCCGTTTTTTCATAGCTTGATTTAACGAATGTTCTGTTTTTCTCTCCAATCGATATGAAATCTCACACTAATAATTAATAAGAGGTTTCTCATTTCATTTTCACTGTATGTTCATCCTCCCGAGGATGAACTTGATTGCCCTAATAAAATAATATATTGCATCGTTTACTTCTCTATGAAGTCGAGTTCATGGGAACATCAACCCGCCCAACTTGTTTTCACCCCTAATTATAATATAAAAATAACCTTAATCAAAAGAAAAATGTTTTTATTTGGGCCTATTATGGAAGCCCGGCCCATTAGTGTATGGAAAGCCCATTAGTTTTCAATTATAATTGATGACAAAAGTCTTATCATATATTAAATAAAATTAATATTCTATAATGTAGATCTAAATATATTATTAATATATTGTAAGTATTATATACATACTCGAATCTATTTATTTAAATTAAACTTTTTAATATTAAATAAAAAATACGTTCAATGCTAATCAAATTAATCTGTAAAAAATCTTAGAATTAATTAATTAAGTTATTAATAAACAACCTTAAATATTTTTATTTCCATTAGAAATCTATGTAATCATAAGGTTTAAAGTAATTAAAATGAAATTAAATATATATTTGAAAGTATTTTTCTTTTTATTTTTTATTTTTGATAATTCCAAGTTACCCCTTGGAGAGCTTTAGAAGTTGCAAGCTATTAGATGTTTGCGGCGAGAAGTTTAAAAATTGAATAAATTATTTAAAGTATTTATTAGAATTATTTAATGAGTTGGAAATTAAAATTATGAGGTTCTAATTCCACAAACACGATTCCTTGGATTTTTATAAATTAAAAAAGATCCCTCATCTTTTATTTATTACTCATTTGCCCCCCACCGCGCCCACAAAATCCAAAACAATAAGTTTATTTTAATATTTATTTTTAGTTTACGTCTCCATATTTATTGTTTTTTTTTTCTTCTTGTGATTCTTATTTTAAAATAAAATAAAAATATATTAACTAAATTGAATATTTAAAAATACCAAATAAATAAGTTTTTTTTTTTGAAGCCTATTAAAATGAGATTTTTTTTAATCTTAAATAAAATAAATAGTTTTTTTATTATTATTTATATGGTCCGTGATAAATCAATTTCTAAGCTCTCAGACTAATATGATATTGTTGACTTTGAGCATAAACTCTCGTGAAGGCTTAGACTTTCCAAAAAGGCCTTATTTTCATGAAGAAAGTATTATTTTATTATATCAAAACATGAATTTAGTAAAAAAAGAAAAAAAAACCGAGATTTGATTTGAGGTCGAGAACTGAGGATGGCTATGCATGTCTTTGTCTAGAAAAGAATCGAGAGAGTTTATACCCTCGATTTTTTTTTTTCATAATTAAATAGAAGTTAAATTATAAATAAAAATTAGTGTGAAGATATAAGTGGTTTGAGAAGGATGGAAAGAATATGCCAAAGATCATCAATAAATTTTATTATTTAAAATCTTATGGTTATAAAAAAAACTTACATATTTTTCCCCGATGGGTCTATTTAAGTTACTATCATTCTCCAAAACTTATTGAATAATACTTTAAATTAAAAAAAAACAATTTATTAATTGACACATGTCTCATTCAACTAGTAATTTTTTTTATTTTAGTTCATAACATTATTAATTATTCTTTGCCATTTTTTATATTCAAAATTCAATCATTTTCGTGTGTAGAGAAGTATTATGTATCCGAATCCACCTAAGAATGAAATTTGAATCTAAGTTACAATGAAGAGACCATGATATAAAGTTCGACTGTGTTTTCCATTATTAGGATATTTTAGTGGTGTTTTTATAACAACCCATGTCCCAAATATTTAAATTTGGCACCTGTGTGCCTCGACATTTTCTTACATCTCTTTTAACATAGTTACGTTTACAAAGGGTATCAAAGCGATACCTCACCCAATAAGATATAGTTCAGGGACGAACCAAGGTAGAAGCTAGTGGACATGTGACACCTTAGAAAAATAGGGGTACATGAGTGAACCAAGACCACATATGAACGAGAGTGATCCTAAGGATAAAATGCACTGTAAGTGAGAACAAAACATACTGGAAAGACTCATGTGTCACATGTCTTCACTCTTAAAACAAGAAATGAGTAATGTGACTATGTCGAAGGAAAATGCTAGGTCATCAAATGTCGAATCCAGAATTGTGAATCCTAATCTTGATCGAGGACATGGGTTGTTAAAGTTTTTTCAATATGCATTTCCATGGGAGATCTTTAAACCCTTTTCAATTGTGATGAAAAAACATAATATATTTTAATATTTCATGTGTTTGACGATAACTGATATGTACGTATCGTCTTTACAAATTTTCTTATATCCAAAATCTCCGGATTTAAATATGAAATAGTGACCGAAGACAAAAAGAAAGCGAAATCTCTTTGAAGGAAGGAGTTGCAATTGAATGGGAGAGATTATGAATTGGTGCATTATTTACAGAACATTTGTGTGTGGTTGACCACAAATTCCAAGAACAAAGAATGAAAGCAAAAGGTTACAAGGCAAGCACCTGATCTGTGGGGTTTGGTTTTATCATCATATACCTTATGCTTCTTCAAAATAACCTCCACCATACATTCTCCTTCCCCTCATTTATTACAATTCTATCCATTCAAACACGTGTCCGAGTTGAATTTAGTGAGGCTAAGGAATGGGAAAAGGAAGTGAAGCGATGATCTGGAAAACTCGATCAATCCAACCCAACTTACACGAATTTGGTCGGATTGGGTTGGGTTGGGTTGGGTTGGGTTCGAATAACTGAAAACTTTATGGATTATTAATATGAACCAATGCATCTCAATCATAACACGTTAATGTTACATTAAGAAAGTCATGTATGTGGTCTTTGTAAAGATACTTGGAAAATGTAGTAAAAGGAATATTTGTGCTCTCCTCTAGCTAACGACTAAGTTTGATTGCAGATCATTCAAGTTTGACATGGTCAATTTTGTTTATGAATTATTATATATATTGTTTATTTCGTGGCTAAATTTGTTTGGTTGTTGTTTTGGAGTTTACCTAAAAGTCATTTTATACCAACCAATTAAGATATTGGCCTTCTTATATGTATTGGAATATTCTCCATGATCATGTTTTATTTTTATTATATGCTACAATATATTTTTTAACACAAAAAAGATAAAACATCTTAAATATCATTTAATTAACTAATTAAATATTATTTTGCTGTTTATCTTAAATTATCTTAAGGAAACGTCGACTTTGTCCTTTAGGAAGGGACTATGATTCAAATCTGCACAGGCAAAGTCCAATAGATTTCGAGATCCCACATTAGTCAAAGAGTGGAATAAAACATCTTTTATAAAGGTGTGGAAACCTGTCTTTAAAATACACGTTTTAAAATTGTGCGGGTCAAATATCTCATGACTACTTTCGACTTTTTTGTCTAATAATATAATACATAAATAAATGAGGTCGAGAGGGATTCTAATTCCTGTCCCTACCTAATTCCTGCTCCACTTAATATAAATATATTTTCAACCACGTACCAAATAAATATAATATTTATTAGCGGTAAACTTTACATTTTTAAATATTAGGTTGGTAGAAGATGGTATATATCTTCACTTATGGTACCCCTGCAACTTACGTAAAAACATAAATTAATTTTATTGGTAACAAAATCCAAACATCAATTCTCATGTTTGAATAGATTTTTTTTTTTGAACGAGTGGAGATTAAATGTTTAGATGGTTTGGTCGGTATACTATTCAACGAAGACATGACACTACAAAATATCTTGTAAGCGTGTGGTTTTTTTTTTTTTAAATTCTAGGGACAAAAATATATTTTCATTTAAATAACTATCGTAACCTTAGTCGTTGAGAAAATAAAGCATAATGAGAAGATTAAATATTTTGAAGATCGGGTTGGTATACTATTCAATGAAGACATGACACTACAAAATATCTTGTATGCGTATGTTTTTTCTTAATAAAAAAAATTAGGCGTAATAATTTACGTTCATTTAAATAACTATTCAACCTTAATCTCTGAAAAAATAAAGTATAATGAGAATCAAATTATGGTGTTTACTAAAATGCATTAATTTTGTACTCATATCTACGAAACATATCATAACATACCTCGTCGATTAATACTTATATTTAAAAAATTTCAAAAAACTTATATAAAAAATATAAATTAATTTTCTCGAGTTGAAATAGATTTTTTTGTTCAACAAGTGGAGAATAAATGATTCGAAGAAGATCTGATCCGTATAAAATTTAATGAAGACATGACACTACAAAATATCATGTGTTTTTTTTTTTTTAATTTTAATTTTAAGAATGAAATTATATTTTTATTTAAATGTTGAGAATTAAATTATGGTGCTTACTAAAACGCATTAATTTTTACTCTCGTATCTATGAAATATATAATAATACATTTAATTTTAATTTTAATTTTCGACATTTTCTTATAAACAAAGCAAATGAATTTCTAATAATGATACACAATAATAAAGTTTTGCATAGTCAAAAGAGCTAATTGTTTCGATAAACTTCAATATCGAAAGGGGATAAAGTACGAGAATAAATTCTTAAATTCTTTCGGAATAAACTTTAATTTTATAAATTTTGGGAGAGATTAATTGAACCTACCCGTAAAATGATAAATAATTGACATTTTATTATTAAAAGTAAAATTAAAATATATAAAGCAAGAAAGTTAATATAATTACAAAATCCCCATAAAGAAGGGTATTTAAAGAAATTTCAAAAAATTAATCCGGGAAAAAAGAATCTATACAAGAACCCGGTAATAATCCTGTTCGTCCTCGCCGATCAGTGTTCCGATCAAATCCTAGACGGATTTTTGATCGGAATCCATCACTCCGACCGGTAGATCAAACATTCTAGTTGAGGTCTCAATATATCTTTCCAAATCTGACCGTCTTGATCTACTTCCCTTACTCTGTTTTTAATCTCAACCACCACTAATTCCTCCGTCAGCTGGAAAATATCAATAACGACGATGAACCCGCCGTCGAGACCCTCCACTTTAGCTCCCCAGCCGTTTTTCTCCACGGCAGCATTTTCCGACTTCGAAGCCTCCTCAACCGTCACTATAATCTTCTCCGGCGATTCGGCGGAGAGAAACCGCTCAACGCCAGAGGAAAATTCCGTTTCGTTGATTAATCCAGTCAAATCGAAGCCAGGTGAGAAGGAAATCAGATCAAAAGCATTCAAACATTTCGCATTGTTCACATCGCCGTAAATCTCTGAACCGGAATCTTCGATTTGAAGCTTCTCCTCCTGAAGTCCCTTCACGAACCACGGATCTTGATGAATCTCATCGACGGTAATCCTCGTCTCCGGATTCGTATCCAGAAGCCTCGAGAGAAACCGCCGCAGATCTGGCGAGGTCCATTTAGGGCACCGGAAATCGCCTCTGTAAATCTTCCGATACATCGCCATTAAATTCGAATCGTTGAACGGAAGGTATCCGGTGGTAAGAACATAGAGGATAATCCCGCAGGACCAGACGTCGATTTTGGCTCCGTCGTAGCCTTTCTTCGCGAGAATCTCCGGCGCGACGTAAGCCGGAGTTCCACAGAGAGTATGAAGCAATCCGTCGGGACGAATCTGATCGGTGAGAGCACTAAGTCCAAAATCCGAAACTCTGAGATCGAAATTATCATCGAGAAGAAGATTCTCCGGTTTCAAATCACGATGAAAAATCCCTTGGGAATGACAATATCCAACGGCGGTGATTAACTGCTGAAAATACCGACGGCTAAGATTCTCACTGAACCGTCCCTTGGAAACTTTACCAAAGAGCTCTCCTCCTTTCGCAAACTCCATCACGAAATAAATCTTCGTCTTCGTCGCCAGAACTTCAAACAGACGAACGACGTTCGGATGACGGAGACGGCGCATGATAGCGATTTCTCTCTTAACGTGCGCCTTGAAACCGCCTTTGAGGACTTTGAGTTTGTTAACGATCTTAATCGCGACGCTCTGTCCAGTAAGAACGTTTCTGCCATGGTAGACCTTCGCAAAAGCTCCACATCCTAATAGCTTACCGAGTTCGTATTTTCCGAACAGGATTCCTTCCGGCAGAGAGTCGCCGCGGGCGAGTCGCGGCGGAGGATTGTCGTCGAACGGTGGCATGGGTAGACAAACAGAACAGATTTTGAGTTTTAGAGGTTTGAAGTTGGGGAGAGGAGGTTTAATTATAGGGATTTGGCATTTTCCGCCATGGAAATGGGTGGGAAGGTCGAGGAATTTAGAGTGAGAGAGGAAATTGGTACAGGCAGTCCAGGTTGGGGGCGAAGGTATTTGAAGGGTAGTCGCGTATGGTAGGGTCCCCCAATGACGTCTTCGACCCTCCAAAACAATTGGGACACTCTACCATTAGTGTTATTGACTATCAATGTTGTGTTACCTCTTTCGATGAGCTCGGGAGAGATGTGACGACCCATGCTTAAGATTTAGAATCTAGATCATTTTTTTACATCTCTTATGACATGATCACGTTACCTACACCTCGTTTCTTAAGAGTATCAGTATATTTTGTCCTCACTCACATGCATTTCAGTAACATTTCTAAAATGTCACTTAATGTCACGACTCTATTTTTCTACTAATAGAGTCGTTATAACATAACTAACGTGACATTTTTACATGGAAATATTCATTTTAAATAATTCATAAAATGATGTCATGAACTTAAAACTATAGCCTTAAAACAAAACAATGAAAAGTATTTAATGTAAAATATAAAATAAAATAAAGAAAATATTAAAACAATGCCCTTGTCTAACCTAAGATCTAAAAAAAAAAAAAAAAAAAATGCAACTACCCTAACCCGGGTTCCATGGTTTTCAATCCGACAGCTGCCATCATACCTTGTCTTTACTCGACATAATAAAATAACACAAGACAATAGAAAAATAGTGTCGTTACACTATGTTTCAAGTAAAGCATGTTAATTAAAATAAATATAAGTATATATAATTATATAATTTTCTTATAAAATTAACCATATCTAATCAATACACCAACTCAATGTAGATACGTCGGTAATAAGTTGATAGCTTATCGATCGAGTTTTTTGAATCATCAAAATTTTTAATATATTAATTATTAATCCATATTTTAATATTTTAATATAAAAAATTAGTGGGGTCCACGAGTGATATACTTGTTTGTTGTGTATGGAATGGTAGGTTTGAGTCACTTTTTATTGAAAATTTAATTTCCCTAATTCCGTTCTTTATTTATTCAAATATATTTTTTAATAAAAGTAATTTAGCATATTTACCAATGACTATTGTTGCCATTAAACAAATTCAAATCATAATTTCATAATATTCTTTTTATTTTCGGACATACAAATTTATATTTAAAAACATTTATAATAATAATAATAATAATAATAATAATAAAACTATAATTTTCCTAAACTATATTTTTTAATTATAATTACATATTATTTATAAAGGTACAGACATGTTTTAAAATCATGAGACTAAAAACAATATATAACGAATTAAAATGAATATATAAATTATAAAAGATTCTCTGTTCTATCCTTTTTCTTTTGGCTTCCTTTCAAACTCATTTGAAACCTAATTTTGAAAGTGAAAATTTGAATGGTTATACATTTCAACGTTATTCTTTTTCTTGATAGCTTTACCCATTTTATTATTGTGTTTTATTTAAAAATATTTAGTAGAATTTTTATTACTCCAAATTTTAAATCTAGATACAGTACCGTTGGCTCCAGCATTTTCTTGCATTCTCAAGAATGGTGACTTTACTTATTATTCCTAGCAAAAATTATCCCCACAAACCAAAACAGTCATTTCCAAATTATTTTAACTTTAATTATTGTAAGATTTTTTTAGTCATTTTATCTTTAAATTGTTCTCATTCACACATAGTTTGTACCTCCTCAACCTTACAAATATTGCCTTAAATTTTTCTATCTCTCTTGCTTTCATTTATACAATACATAGTCAGTGAGTCATACCCAATATTTCGATACTCTGAAACTCGAAGTGTGACAGAATGGTATCAGAGTCAGACACGTGTCAACAAGGACGCTAAGTTCCCAAGAAAAGCGAATTGTGAGGTCTCATGTCACATATCTCTAGTAGACACATTTTAAAATTATAAGGTCGATAGTAATACATAACAAACCAAAACATATAATATCTAACGATGACTTAACTGTTACATAGTTTCAATTTATTCACGACTTAAAAGTAACACCTTACTGTTACCAAATAGATTAGGCCGAAATGATGTCAAATCAAAATTTGTAAATTTATTTTATAATTAATTATTTTGATAAATAATTTCGTCATACAAAAATTCAATAATTGAGGTTTTTTTTCTTCTTTCTCTATCTTAGTGTTACGAATCCACAAGCTTCATTTAAGGAGAAATTATATATATATATATTATTATTATTATTATTATTTTTTTTTTTTTTCAGAAAAGGAAAATGATTATGTCATCTCCTTCGATGGATTGCACTTTTTTTTTTCTTTCTCAATTGGAACTGACAGAAGTAGCTTTGCTGTCCACACAGCGGGGAATAATCGCACGTTGGTGTACAGTAAACCCATATCCAAACATAACCCTTTATTTTTTATTTTTATTTTTATTTTTTATTTTGCTATTAATAGAAATTAAGTAATCATAGATAATATATTTATAGAATTATTTTTGTTTTTTATTATATTGTTCAAGATTATTATATGATAAACGGTTTTTTAAAGTATTTTTATAAGAAAGCACTTACACTAAAGTAAAAATGGGGGAGGGAAACCTTACCAATAGGAGCTCGATTCAGTTCAATTTATAAAAACTATCGTGACTTACCGTTTTTGAAGTTGCTGATTTTTTCATTCATTGGCTTTACCTCCTCAATCCATAGCTCGCGCTATAACGTCTCAATGTCAGGTTGTGGATCAACTTCGTCTTGATATGTTTGGCTATAGGAAGTTGCAAATCAGTTTCATCTTCTAAATATTTTTACGGAATTATTTGCACTCGTTGAGTCATCGTAGCCTCATTTTGTTGACGGGTTCTATATCTGGCTACTTCTTCAATTGGGCGGTTTTTCCAACCTAAGTTTGTTTTCCTATTGTTCATACTCGGGTCTAACTGTTATTTTTTTTTCCAATTATGTTCAGTTTAAGGCTATTTTTTTTAATGTTTTGAGTAAGACGCATATATGTTGGCTTCTTTATGTGTGTGTGTTGTGATGGTTTGTGCATACATGGGACCTCATACGAGTATTAACTTGACACTTGTAATTTATGAAAGTGGCAATGACCCATCAAATTTATGATGCCTTACATAGGAGCGACACGACTCTCCTAGCAAAGAACCCATTATCATCTATTGGGGTAAAGTTCATTAATACTCATTGACAAAGAATTGACGTATCTAGTTAGTGATTTAATTGACCACCGAGTCACAAATATTTTGACAGATCAAATTTAGGTCTCTTAAGTGCAGTTGCATATTATTGGTTGTTTATGCATTTCTAACGTAACATAGGAGTTACTTACCGAGTATTTCAATAATCAACTTTTTCAAAATAATTTTATACAGATAAAGACAATGACACACAAGACGAGTGACAATGTTGTTTGTTTGATATGGCATGAGAGTCTGTATCATCATGTTTTTACTTCTGCACAATTTTTTTTTTTTAATTTTTCATCATGCGACCGACTTCTGCAATCTCAACCAGTGTACGTTTAGAAAATGTAACAATATAAATACACCGTTCTTTTTTTCGTTAGAAGGAACTTTAATATTAAATAAAAAGATTTATTATTATTTATTGATAAATTAAAATTAATATGTTTTTTTTTTATATAAGAAAAATGATTTGATTAATGATTATGGTGTAGAAATAGACTAAAAAAGTTTAAATTCCATGGATAATGTTAGCACTTTATCCTAAAAAGTATTTAAATTTGTAGTATTCAATGATTAATGTGCTACCTTTATTAGCTTTGCAGTCACAATTCTAGGGAGTAATTTCAAAACAAAAATTTATATATAAAAAAAAAATATTACTAAAATTTTAAAAGCAGCATTAACGCTCTTTATTATTTATAAAAAAACTTTAAATTTTTTATCTATCTATAAAAAATTCGTAAATTATCTCTAAATTTTTTAATGTTATCTTTATAAATTCATGAGCATTTTTAAAACGTTAAAGAATATTTTCGAGAAAAAAAATGTAATATGGTTATAGATATGGTTCATAATTTGGAATAATGTAAATAATAAAGCAAAAGTTGTGGGGTCAATTTATAAGAAAAAAATGGCATATTATTAGCCACAAATAATTTGGACTTGAAATTAAGGAAATGTTTAATAAAATTATTTTATTTTATTTTATTCTAAGTTTCCATGAACCATTCAAAACCCCAAACTCTAGCCACACCCATACATTTTTTTTTTAATAAATTTTTTTTTTTTTTTTTTTTTTTTTTTTATGTTAACTCATCAATTGATAAATGGATTTGATTGTTTTGAAAATGATTTTTTTAAAAAAAAAAGAATTTGAAACCTTAATCAAATTATATTATTATTTTTATTTATTTGAAGTACTAAAATTTTGAATTAAGTACAATATTAATATATAACTAGCTTGAGTTTAAATTATGTTATTTATATTTAAATATGGTTATTAATATTTCAATTATATTTTTGTTGGTATAAATATATCATTGGATCCTAATAAGAATGTAATATGTATATTATTTTTATTATTATTTATTTTTGAATATCTTTTAAAAATAATTTTTAACTAATTTTTCAAAATATATATTAAATAGATGTCTTATTATTTTATTTTTATTAAAAATAAAATTTTAAAGAAATTATTCAAATAAACGAGACGAACTCAACTAATTTTTTTTTTTTTTTTTTTTTTTTTTTTTTTTTTTTTTTTTTTTTTTTTTTTGTNAAGTTAGATTGGGTTCATTATTTGATAAAAGTTGTTTGGGTTTAAAATTTTAGAACTTAAACAATTGAAACGGGTCGGATCGGGTTTAAAAAATGTTTCAATCCAACTCACGAACCGTACAAATAATTTATATTTTTTCCGGATTCAATGCGAATTTTGGTAATTTATTATCTAATCTCAAAATCATTTTCCATTTTTAATTTTAAATTTTAAATTCCAAACACACATTTTAAGGCATTTTAGAATATTGGGGAGTGTGGCAATTTGGTAAATAAATTATCTATCCAATCCATCTTGAGCCTT